ATGTGAAATAGGAAGAAAAGGGGCAAAGGGGAAGGGGAAGTTGGAGGGGTAGGGGAAAGGAATGAAGGGAATGGAATTAATATGAGAAAATGAAAAAATGGAAACAAAGTCTATGTAAATGGGGAGGGACCGAGGGGTTGAAGGGAGGGCAGGGGAAGGGCGAAAAATAAGAACCAAGAGAGATTATTTAAAGGTGCAAATATCCAATAATGAATGTCATTATATTGTATACCTAAATTGTACCAATAAAATAAATTTTTTTTAAAAAGTGATCACCACCGAGTTCTAACAAAAAGCTTCTAATTGCAGAATATAAAGAATTTGTGCAGCTAATGAACACCAGGATCCACCCTTCAGTGAATCTGCACACCATTCTTCACATTATAAACTTTCTATTTTCACTGTTAGGTGATTCCATATTAAATGACAAAGTGTAACAGTTTTTAAAATGGAACAACCCAACTCCTTAGCTTTGAGCAGAAGATAACGCAATGTGTTGAAGCAGAATGAAATTGATCTTATGTTCCTGATGAGAAAATGATAGCTCTTTTGTTTAGATTTTTCTGGAAATACGAGTTCTCCTTTCTTAGACTCAATCATTTGCCACCTGAGAAGAGGTTTTGAAAAACCCTCTGAGCTCCATTTCCCCTGTGCTTTGGGTTTTCTTCTATAGTTATCTCCTGCAAACTTATGCTGTGCATTCACAACCATACAGTGAATGTTTAATGAACAACTGTTCTTTGTGTTAGGCCACAGACCATCTTTGAACTTGTGATTGCTGCCAAGAGCTGCATAGCAGCTGGATTGGATGAGAAAGAACATAAAAATATAGACTTTAAGAAAACTATAGAAAAAAAAGTAGAAAGCACGAAGCTTAATGAACATTTTACATCTAGATTTCTAATTCAAATAGTGCTTGAAATAACGGGAACTATTGCAAGTCTGACATCCATGTGGAGAGTATTACTGTAAGGTATTTAAAGAAAACATCCAGAGATGCCCAAATCTGTGATTCTTCTTCCTGGAGGCAAATAAGCAAGCAATTAGGAAAGAAAGGTACCACTGTAGATTTGTGCCCAGAACATGCAGTGTGAAGTGTCTTGTGAACCAGATGGAAGTGCATAAGTTATCCCAACCTAATGGCACTTTGTCACTTTTCCCATGGCCACACTTCCCTATGGGCTGGCCACAAAAACCAAAACAAGGAGAGCACCACGGACTGCACTTGTGAAGAACTGACAGTGAGAAAAGCCATGGTATCAATCAAGAGACCAGTGATAAAGTATTGTGGAGAGATAAGACTTGAACTGGACCTTTTGCATGAATTCAAACATCCATGTGCTATTCTCTCTGAAGGGATCATCTTATCATCTCTCACCCAGCCCGCCTTATCCATAACTTAGCTGGTTAACTCCTGCTTTGGCCACTGACCGCTGCTTTCTCTGGGAAGACTTCGTTTCTCTTAAAATAGATTTCACCCTCCTACTTCACCACCAGGTGCTCCCAATGCATTCTGTTCATACATACATGCCTGTCTCAGCCAATGAATTATTCATCTTCGGTATTAGGCTGAGTTTCTTGATACAGGGACTTTGCATTGTTTCCCTCTACTTGGCACAACTTCTTTTTTTGTTGGTATGGCAGATTGAACTCAGGTTCTTGCACTTGCGCAGCAGGCAGCGAAACCACTGAGCTAAATCCCTGGCCCTGCACAACTTCATTTTAATTATGTGAAACTGGATGAATGAAAGGTAACCCAGGTAAAGGAAACCTTCCCTCCAGAGGTGTAGTGGGTGAGGACCTGGACAGGGTAAAGACCAATCTAATTGGCATGCGGGGTTTAGAAAAACCTTAAAAGCTAAACATATACATTCACACTGAATTCTGTCATATTCTGTCATGCTATTGGTGGTTGTAAACAGAAGAGCAATATAATGAAACAAAGGTTTAAGGAAAACTGGACTAACAATGAATGGAGGAACAGGAGAGCAGGCTCACTGAGACAAATCAGTGTATCCAAAAAAAATCTCTCCAGGCATTTATATTATAAAGGAAGTCTGGATGACTGACTTCCTTTCAAGAGTAGAAACCTGTAAGTTTCATTAAAATTCCCACAGTTGTAGTAATTTGCTTCCCCTTCAGAATTGACATTACTTTGGGATTTAATATTTGTGAAACCTAGGGATACAAAGACTCATTAGGATATAGCAAATTTAGACAAGTCAGATATTTTGTCTGTCAGCCCCAGAGCAGAATCACATGGTATCATTCGTCCTGCAGTAATGAGTTAGACATGCTTTGTTGGGCAAAATGTCTAAGTCTATTCATGTGAAAATGGCAATTTCAGAGAGAAGGGATGCATACAGCTGGGATGTCACCGAGGTGAGATTTACAAATGGCATTCTATAACAATTTCTGTATCTGCCCTGGCAAATTGACTAAGTGGGAGCCATTTTAATCCCATATCTGTTGGAAGTACCTAATAGCCAATGACAAGAATAATCATTATGTGGTACTGGAGTTTCCCTCTAGAGGATTCATGTCTTCTTACATAATCCCCTCTTCCTTAAAAACTAGATTTCTGGGAGCATGGTTTAGTTATATGTGGATTTCTATTTTATAATGGAATCCACAAGTTTGGTCTGTTTTCCAAGGTTCTTTTATATCCAGGGATATGAATGATTCCCTCTGGACTTGAAAGTTATTTTTCTCTTTTTGATAGTTTTCTATGACCACTTGAAGGAAAGGCTTTAATTTCAGCAACAAGTGATTATAAAAACTTGATACAGCTGATATTCCTGGAGCTTGAACATAGAGAAATACTGCTCTAATCACCAACACCTGTAACCACCAATGCTGCTGGGAAGCTGGATTTTTTAGGCCATAGGAAAATCCATAGGAATATTTAAAGATTGGAAATTAAATATATATGATTTATTTTGCTTCCTCCCTAAAGCTTTCAAAAATGGAATTAAATCTTCATGGAAAAAAGGAAGCACTGACTCACAAAATTAAGGACAGATGAGCCAAAAGAGCAGAAACTTCTTGAAACCCAGAAGGAAGATGAGTGTAGTGGAAACAAGCTGAAAACTGAAACTTAATCAGGTAGTATAAGAACCAAGATGCAAAGCAATTGGTATCACAGAATCTCAGAAAAGCTCAGGAATTGGCTGTACCATGTGAGAATGATGGCAAGGGACAGGAGGACTCAGAATGCTGAAAGCTCCATCTAGTGCTATATTGTGACTGTCCCTTCCCAATCCAAAGAACCCTAGTGGAGTGCTCTCTGGAAAAAGGAAGAAAACATCAACTTTGCACAAATGGGGACCTGGGAACAATGCTAAAAAATGAGGCATCAATTGAAGGTCTCTATACTGAACAGTAGGTCTGAAATCCCCTTTGCACTCTCTGCTTTTAGATCTTTGACAGCTTCATATCCTCCAATTAGGAGCTGCTTCTATGAAGGATCTGATTAGTCCAAGAGAGGAGATGAGCTGGATGGTGCCTGTGATCAGGGGCCTCAATAGATCCAGCCCGCCCAGCCCACAGTAGAGGCTGTGAGTTGGCAATCCTACCAGCCACAGGGAGGTCTCAGTCAGCCTTGTACCTCTTCACTCTGAAATGTGTGTGTGTGGGGGGGGGGGCTGGAACCTGAAAGAACAAATCAAAGAAAATAAACAGAAGAAACAGAAATAATCCAAACAGCAAAAAAAAAATGTTTCAAAGAAAAACATCAATACCTTTAAAAAGCTAAGAGAAGAAGCTATATTTGTGGACTAAGGGTAGGATGCTGTTAAGCAAAAGAATATTCAGGGGACAAAAAAGAACTCTTGGAAATTGTAACTGGAAAAAAAAAAATTCTCTGAGAAAGATTTCAGTGTAAAAACATGATGAAATCTCCACAAAGCAATGAAAAACAGAACAGAATAAGAAAATTAGAGGGACAATCCAGGATGTCTAATAATTTGTAAAGTAGAATTTCCAGAAAAAGAACAAAGGAGATAAACTATCAAAAGAATGATTCAAGAAAAATTTTCAGAAACAGGACATGAGTTTCCAGTTTGGTAGAACAGACCGAGAAGCCATTATAATGAATAACAAAAGTCTAACACTTACACTGTCATCTGGGCACAGGAGGAGGGTGTTGCAATAAGATGCATGGAATCATTTGACTTTAAAATCTATGGTTGTATAGCTTTGATCAAAAAATTAAGTTAAAAATGCATTAAGTTAAAATGAATTAAGCAAAAAACAATAATGACATATACACAAATATTTCTTCCATTAATGGTGTACCTAATGAAGGAAAGAAGTTTTTCTTAAATCTTAAGGCACAGTTTTTACTTAGACTTCTAATTTTTAGAATAAGGGAGGTCCTGGATTCTCTTTTTCAGGTTCACATATAATAGAACCAAATTACCCTGGATCTCTTGGGCATGTTGCAAGCAGTACTTCTCAGGAGTTTTCACTTCCTGGAAACCTTTGTGCCTGACGCTTAGAGAGGCAGGAATAAAGGGTGGACACTGAGGTTCACCACTCTCTGTTCCAGGCAGGGCCCGTCCAAGCCAGAAGTCCTGTCCATCCAGTGGCCCGGAAAGCGATCCAGCCGCCGTGTGCAGAGACACAACAGCTTCTCCCCCAACAGCCCGCAGTTTAACATCAGCACCCCAGGTAAGGTAGCCTTTGTTGGCTTTCTTCTTCATACTCCATATTATTTTCATTTTCCAATGGATTCTTTAACAAACAGCTGCTAATCAAGAGTAGAAATAGAGCGTTTTTCCTCTACTAAGTATGAAGCTGAAGAAATACGCCATGCAGGGCATTGTGAGAAGTGGGTGGTGATTTGAAACGCCCTCTCCAACACTTCCACACCTGTTTCCCGACAAATTCCATCAGCTGTGCATGGGAAGCACCCTCAGAGATAGTGAGCAGGGAGAAAGCGCCCCCTCCGGTGGCTAACACCCAAAAAGCTCGGTCTCCACACAGCTACCTTGACACGAAGAGTTGCAGGCTTCACTGTAGTAAACTCTAGATCTCCGATTCTCCCTAAGCACACTCTAAATTCACATTAGGGAAAGGATCCTTGTCTCTTACCGTGTTAAGATTACTCAAAGGTGATGGTGTTTTTGAGGTTTGTTATATAAGATCTGTTGGCTAACTCATACTACTAATTATTTAGTTATTGTACTTTCACTATATTATTTACAATTTTTAAATTGATCTAAAATATGCATGTGCTTGTTGCTAAATATGGGAGTGATTTTTTTATGGAACATCCATATACCCAAGCGCATGTATCACTTGAACATGTCATTTTAACAGAAATGAGTCTTCAAATAACTAACATTTCAGAAAGTAAAAGTACTAACTATATCCTATATTTACATTACTGTACACAAAAGATTCAAGGGTGTTTTCTTGAACATAGTCTTACTTTATCCCAACATCTTAAAAGTTTCCCCATTCTGCTATGTCACAGCTAAAAAAAATCCAATGTGTACAGACTGTCTAGGATCATATGGATTACCAGTCCATTTTTATTGGGAAACAAACTTAAAATCTCAATGGTTAACAACTGCCAAGATCTGGTCTTCTCTTGTAAGTCTGTGATTGGCCATGATTCAGGCCATCTCAGCTTAATGTGGCTCCAGGCTGTAGGTTGAGCTTTGTTCTGCTTCTCATGAAGTCTCCTTCTGGGATGAGTGAAAACTGGAGCCTTTTCATTTCCTGGTGGGTGTCAGTAGCACATGCAGCCAGGCCAAAATTATACAAGCACATTTAAAACCACTGTGCTGTGCGCAATTTGTCTACTAACTTTCCATTGGCCAAATGAGTCATATTCTGAGCACAGTAACAACAGGAAGGAAAATGTACTCCACTTAGCATAACGGGAGGGACTGCAAAGTTTCCAGGCAAAGGGTGCATGCACAAAATTACTTATACAGCAGGAAGAAAGTGAGGAATTGGGAACAATAATGCAATCTACCACATGACTAGAAAATGGCAATGCTAGATTCTTGAGATTATTCTTCCCATTTGAATATCATATCCTTCCTAGGAACTTATAACAGCCACCTGAAATCTTTTTGGGAATAATCCAGACTGGAAATGAAAACGTAAACATAAATGTTGTTTGTATATTTCTATTTTCTTCACACAGTCTCTTTCCTCCTTCCAATGTCTCTCTCTCTCTCTCTCTCTCTCTCTCTCTCTCTCTCTCTCTCTCTCTGCCCCCCCATCTCTCTTGTAGTCACTTTTTTGCGGCAGTGTTAATGTTCATTTTTACTTCCTAATTTATTTGGTGGAATTCTTCCCCCAAGAAGACATAGAAAAGTAAATTCTGATGTACAACACTACTCCTTTATAATTTAGCTATTGACTTTATTGCATTCAAAGCTAAAGCAACAATTTATATAGTCATAAATTCAATCACATCCCTGTTCTAAGAAATATTAAATAATATTACTTCAGCAAACACCAGTGGAAAGAGTTTGAGTAAGCTTCAGTAAGGGTACAACAGAATACCAATATGTTTGTGTAGGGGATCAGACCACAGCTGAAAAGCCCCAGCTTTGCATACTAACATTAACAACAAAATAACTGCAACAGAATTTATATGATGTTTAACCTGGTGCTAGATATACACACATACATATATAAATTACACATATAGTGTATACAAAACTTATACTTTACACATCACACACATGTGTGCTATGATTGAAAAATATGGTGAATGTCTAAACTTTTAAAAAATATATTATAGTTAAAAATACATTGTCATTTACCCTCCTCAAACTACTCCCCCTTACATCAAACACACTTATCCCATCATTCTTGCCACTTTCTGAAACAGTTCTGGAAGTCCTCTTTCATGAGTGTCTTTAGTTGTGCTGTCGTGGCTGCTTTGATGTCCTGAATGGATTCAAAACATTTACCTTTCATGATCATTTTGACTTTTGGGAAGAGCCAGAAGTTGCTGGGTGCCAGATCTGATGAATAAGGTAGATGCAGACACACGGTAATGTCTTCACAGGCCTGCCTTTCTGTTGGATGGCACTCAGCAGCAGCATTCACCATATTTTTTATGATACCTCATAAACACGCTCATGAAAAAGAACTTCTAAAGCTCCTTCAGAAAGTCACAAGAACAATGGGATAAGTGTTTTTGAAGTGAGAGGGAATATGGCAATGTGTCTTTTACTGTAATTTTTTTTAATCTAAGCATTCACTATATATTTTGATCACATCTCATAGATTTATATGTAAATATCATATATATGAATGTATAGAGTGACAGACTCAGCCATGACTGGAAAAGCCATCAGGCTAGTCCTTAGGAAGGGACACAGAGCTACCTTGCTCTTATGCTTCTTTTTGATTGTAGCAAATTACACCCTCTGAGGTTAGGGCTATGTTTTTATAGACTCCAGCCACTGCCCTTGAAGTGACTTTAGAATCATTGATTGATGCTTTCCTTTTTCAAAAGAAAACTAACTGCCTTATGGGTTAATACAAATGGCTCTGCGGGATCTGTTGTCTTGAATATCAAAGGCTGATATAATTAACATTAAAAAAGAGACCTGTGATAGACTATTAGAGAAGAGGAGAAGGTACGGAGGGGAAGCCAAGAGAAGAGTACTAGGTGCCTGGATAGGATCAAAATATGTACATGTATAAACATGTCACAGTGGAGCCCAATATTCTGTGCTATTGTTGCAGTAATAAAAAAATCAGCCCGAAAGAATGAAACCACTAAGGTGTATGGATCTCTGCTAATCAGTAATTTAGAAAGCACTCAGTGGAAGACATTTTTAGATTATGTTTATAAGTCAAAAACACTGTATTCGTCCTTCAGGGTGAAAGGGGAAACAATCAAGCACTCCTCCTCTGTCTAAAATTTCACATCTTGCCTTTGTCATTTCCCCCAAGGCTCACTAGAAGAAGATAACCAGTGGATGACCCAGATAAACAGACTCCAGAAATTAATTGATAGGCTGGAAAAGAAGGTGTGTGATTCCTTTTCTTTCTTCTCTTTCTACTTTTCAAGATATTTGAGCTGATATTTATTCCTCATTGTCTCAGTATCCATGGCTGCCCCAAGAACAGAATAACAGTCATGATCTCAGTAATTCTATCAATATCTAGTCAGTAGTTATTGGAGTTTTTGCTTGTTTTTGTTAAAGCAAATAAAGAAGCTCACATTAATTCTCCTTCCTCGCTCTGCTCCTAATTATACTTAAAATAAGAGAAAGGGTTTAGAACTAAATAAATCAACTGCACTTTCTGACACAGGTTATCCAAATAAGATGAATGGCAGATGGTTTAGTGATGCTAATGGCAGCTTTTAGAGACATCCTAGCTATAAAGTCTGAGAATCTTTCAAATTGAATCCAGGGAAAGGCTATGATGTCCACTAAAAAATGAGATTTCATACTTGACTTCTGAAAATAATCATGTTAACTGATGGTTTTGGCATTGAACTTGATAATAAGCAAGCAGTTAGGATGTAAGCAAGCAAGTTAGGGTGTGATGAAGAGTTCTTTAAAGTTATATATTCCTAGTTACTATATTTTATTGATTAATTCATCTAAGATCAAGAAGTCCTGATATTAAACTGATATTGCCTTTAAGTTGCTTTCACATAGAGGCAACATTTGTCAATCAGTAATAAACTGTTTTCCGTGAATGTGAATGCACCAAGGAAGGAACATTTTTGTTTGTTAGAGTCACAGACTTTGAAGAATCCATACTATACTTGCAATAATAAGCTGCATTCCGAAAGAGACAGAGAAAGAGAGAGAGGAGAGAGAGATTAATTGCAATGTGTAGTAGCACAGAACATAATTCGTAACTAATGCTCCTGACTGACTCAGCCTTGCCAAAGTATCGAAGAAGACACAAGCCTCTACAGTGTTCACCTGAGAGAATGGTCACTGTTGGCTGGGATGCTTGGGAAGTTCCTCACATGCAGGAAGGGTTTAAATTGGGCTTTTAAAATGATGACTCAATTCAACAGAAATCACCATTCAAATGTAATAACACTGAGAATTTTTTGGAAAGTTATGGAAGTCCTCAGAGAATCAACAGACAGTCTAGAGCAGAAGTTCCCAGCCCCCAGTCTTCCATGAAATTGATCCCTGTGCCAAAGAATAGTTGGAGACTGCTGGTCTAGAGACCTGAATTTGGGAAAAATCAGGAGACAATATAATTTCAAAGATTTAGGGAGCAAGAATTACTTAGTCTTTCAGGTTACTGCCACTGCAATAAATGAGCTCTAACCATTCCAGTCTGCACAAGATTCTACTTGATGTCCTGAATGGATTCAGGAGAACAAGTTAGCTTGTTCTCATTGGGGTCACATGTTGGCCTCTTGGATAGAAGACTAGAGGAGACCACCTTGATTAACAATCCCAGAGCACTGTATGGAAAAGAGAAGAGATAATTCATGGAAAGACAAATGCATTATCATTAAAGTTAGAATAAATGTTGATCAGCTGACAAACCTATGAACAAAGTGATACTTGCTATGAAGAAGTGATATTTTAGTACACAGAACAACTGGAAAAGGCAGTGACACATAAGCAAAGCTCAAATAGATCAACTTGATTCAGTCTTCATTTGTGAAAGTAGTGACAAGGTTAGATGGATGATGTGGGTCAGATCATGGATGTCCATATGTAATCAACTAAGGGATTTGGATTTGGTCTTGAAGATAACAGGAGGTACTTATTATTCTCAACAGGTCAGTGGCAAACCAAAAATATCTTTTAGCTAGGAAATTGGACAGAAAAATGCAAAGTGGACTAAAATAAATGCATAGATAAAAACAAGAAAAGACTAGGCTCAGAATCCCCAGAGAGCCATTTCAGACAATGGCAAGAAAGAGTAGGTCATGTATCCTACCCCTACAGTAGATAAGGCAAGAGACAGACCCTGCTAGCAGGGGGAAAGAAAATGGCAGGTTTGAAAGACTTGAAGTAGAATTAACAACACCACTGAGCATGGTGGGAACTCAGGCTGAGATTTTCAGCCTGACTGTGGGAGGGAGACAGTCAGACCATTAACAGGAAAGGGAGAGATGAGTGAGATATTTCTGAGGTGAGATGAGAAAGTGAACCAGTTTTCTAGATCTGTTTATTTCAATGTACGACAGGATGCTTAGGCAGAAATACCCAGTCAGATGTTAGTAGGAGAGAAAAATCAGGCCAGAGGGTTAAGGTCTTATGAGCCATCCCCTCAGAGGTGAAACTCCAAGGTCCCATGGACAGGAAAGATCTCTGAAAAGGAGATACTGCAGGAGAAGAGCTAAGTTAAGGGGAAGCAACCTTGGAGGGTTCCATTCCCTCTGCCACAGTGTCTTCATTTGATCAATTTTCTTCAGCCTCCTACTGGAGCAAACAGCTAAAGTAGGAGCTTGCTGCAAATTAGCTTTCCTCCTTCTTTATTTCCATCAAGTGATCCTTAAGCAGATTCATAGGAAAATTAGTGGCTATGAAAATTAGTTTTTCAATATTGGAAGTCTAGAAATCCAGGGCGCCATTTTGGAAACTATATCTTATTAAAACATAAAGGTTTTATTGTTAAGTAACTTTGAATTCATTTAAAAAATCACCTCTTTTTAGAGTAATGTTGAAGTTCTTGGGAAAATTCTTTTTGTAGTGTCTGAAATGTATACAGTTATTTTTAAAGGAATGGCTCAAGCTTTGGTCATACCTTCCCACCTCCCCCACAAATTTTATTGTCATGTCTGTTTCTTTCCTAGGCTTTTTGTCTCACTCCCTACCTATGAAAGGGTTTCATTTCAAGCACAATGTCTGAGAGGTTTATTGAAAGTACAATGTGATGGTTTTAGGTGTGTGGTTCCAGCTGTGTGGAGCTCAGTGTGAGCTATCTTAACAAGTAAAGAAGCAGCGGAAGTTCAGCCTTCTGCTGCAACATATTCTGTACTGAGGGGAATTCATTTTTTTACAGAAAAACTACCCAATTGCCAAGCCATGGCTAAGGGCGAGTCATCTCGTGCCAATTCTCTTGTTTCCCGCAGATGTTAGAACCAAGTTTGAGCTCCTGTTAAAAAGAAGTGTACCTACAGAGGGACATATGTTATCTTTGCTGTCTATTAAGTATTTATGATGAATCCTTCTGGAACTATAAACCAAACCAGATTCCACTCATGGCTAGGGAAACTAGCACTTGGAATTTCTGCACATTTCTTCAGGTTTTCCTTTTGTCCTTTTCACCCTGTATAAGTATTTATGGGGATATACTTATGTTTTGTTGAATCCTGCAGAAAACACATTTAATGTAAAATAAAACAAAACTTCAAAAAGGACAACAATAAGGCCTTATTATTCTTCATGAAGCACTCAGTGTATTAGATCATAAAGCATCTTCATTTGAACAAGAGTAACTGAGGACATCACAGTCATACAATTTAACTTTTTCATACCTTAGGTATAACTGAAAAGTGTCCCTGAGCTGGGAAATAGCAGTCAAGATTACTATGTTATAGTTTGTATTTGTAGAATACTTATAATATTCAATTCAATCTGTATTTGTTATATAGTTTTGCCTTCATGAACAAGCTATGATTTTGAGGGAGCACTCATCCAGCCATTCATTTATTCAACCTTTATTGAGTAGCTACTATATGTCTGGTACCATTGTGGCAATAGGAATATGGCAGAGATCAAAACAGATAAGATCTTGTCTCTGAAGAGATAGACCAAAAATCAAGTAAACAAATTTAAGAAACAAGATAAAATCAGATAGTGGAACGTGTTATGACAAAAGCAGGGCGCTGTGATTGGGATGAAGAAGTCAAAGGCTCAAAGTAAATGGTTTGGGACGATCTCTTTGAGGAGGCCACATTTGAGCTGAGATGTGAAAGACAAGAAAAAGACACCCAGAGGAAGACTTAGGGAGAGAGAAGGTGAAGCAAAGGATCAGTAAAAATGAATCACAGACAAATGACATGCTCAAAGCTCCACCACAGAACAGTGCTGCTAGATCTACATTGCTGTATTGTTGACAGGTTCGAGTTATCACAGATAGTCTGGATTTCTGCAACTTTCAATTTATTTCTTATCTATTTGAAGAAACTGTTATACATAATCTCCACTTGGAAGAAATAGAAATAGAAATGTATTCCTAGAAGGAAGTCCTTGGAGATTACACACTTGGTTTCACTGGGGACTTCATTGTTATCCACTGGTCATCGCAGAGGCTAAGGTCATAAACATCAATAATATTTTCATCTACTTTGTAATTCACTTCTTTTAGTAAGGCAAAATTTATGTTGCAGTGTGAATGTATTATAACAATAGACTCATGTCTCTAATAAGAAATGCAGAAATGTAACAGTTTTCAGTGCAGAAGAAAACAACATGTTAGGCTTAGCTAATGGAAATTTTTCCTTATTTTACCTCTCCATCCTTTCACTCTGTTTTAATGTATGTTTCTCCTCCCCTTTGCTCTCTATGGCATCAGAGAAATAAACTTTCAGTAGTAACAAATTGAATCCATCTGAAATAGCTCCTCACAATTAATACACGAGCAAAATGAGGCATTATTGAAACAGCTAAATTTTTAAAAATCAAAATTATTTCATCTCATTTAGATAATGAGGTTATTACGGTATAATATTAGCCATGAAAAAAACATCATTTGAATCTATGGTGCTTACTTTAATTATCTAATTTCTGGGGTTTTTTCCTACCATTTCCTCCTCAATTTTTGAAAATCAGAATTATTTTGAATGTATGGTGTTTTTTTAATTATCTAATTTCTATTTTGTACCTCCCGTACCCTGCCATTTTCCTTCTCAATTTTTAAAAAACAGAATTTTTCATCTCACTTAAATAATGAGGTTCTTTGGGTACAATATTAACCATGAAAAGACTAACATATGAATCTATGATGTTTGTTTTAATTATCTAATTTCTGGGTGTTTGTTGTTGTCACTGTTGTTTTGGTTTTCTTTACCATTTGCTCCTCTGAAGGATCTCAAACTTGAACCCCTGGAAGAAGAAGTTATTGAAGGCAATACTAAATCTGTAAGTAACTTTCCAGGTCAAAAGTTTAGAAATATATACTTTTAAGATATGATTCAGTTTCCTCAAAAACTATTATCTCAGTCAAAACTTGAAAAATTGAGTAACACATGAACCTATTCCATTTTGCATGGCTAAATTGTGATTTGTAGATGCCTAATACCTACTTCACAGTGGATTTTTGTGAAAACCCTTGGCGTGTAATAGATGAAAAATGAAAATTTCATGCATGTATGAATCAATGAATTATTGAATAATTGAATGACTATGACTGTCAGAAAAGGATAACATTGAATTTTTTCATAAGCACATTTTGTAAACTCTGCTAGGTTGAATACTTTACATACCTGAGCTGAAGCCTCCTCCTATTTGTTATTGTATTTCCAATATTTAGCCTAAAACTAGGAACTTTTAAATGATCAAAAATAATTTTTCAAAGAATAAATTGATGTTTAGAGAAAAAGGACTATTTATATACCTGTGGAAAGTGTATATCCATAGTGGTGACAATTTATCAAAATTGAAAGAAAATTTATCCTAAAAGGTAGACTGAGTTGCAATAAAAAATTAGTGAATAAATTAACTAATTGAAAAGCAACATGTACTGTGATTTTATTATTTTACTTTATTTTAACTCATATTTATAGCACATTCTAGTTGGGGAAGTTGGGTATTTGCATTTACATTTAGTGAGAAACCAGATTTTATAATCTTGGATACTAACGAAAAAAATCACTTTTTTTTTTTGGTACCGGGAATTGAACTCAGGACCTTGTACTTTTGAGGCAGGCCCAATGTCACTGAGCTAAATCCCCGGCCCAGAAAATCACTCTTTTCATAATATTTTATGTGTATTTATGTGCTTTATAAATGGTGAGGGACCATTCACAATCACATGACGGCTGGGAAATACCTTTCATCTGTGTATGGTGCGCTGTTCCACAGACCCTGACTATATGGTAGGAGGTGATGTCCACTCATGTGACAGGCTCCTGCCCATTTGTTCAAATTTGGGACACAAAAGGATTCTTCATAGAAAGCCTTGAGGAGTCTCAAAAAAGTTGAATAATAGCTGCTGCCATTAGAATCTTAGAGATCTGCATATTTTCCCATGATGCAACTGTGTTTTTCATTACACAGCCAGCACTTTTATTTCTCTGAATACAGTGTGGTCTGTGTTAGCTCACCAGGCACCTCAGATTTTACAGTGGCTGACTTCTGGGGGAAGGTGAGCAGGTGTGGAGCCCCCATGCTAGAATAGTTGTTTTCTGTGGTCTTACAGGTACAGCAATTGCTGGTCTTGTGATGCCACCTCTGATATCATCTCATAGGCTTGAGGAGAAGGAAAACTCCAAGAAAAATGAACACAACTCCCCTAATGTTGTGAGAGACAATTGTTTATTCTTAAATTATTTCCTAGTGTGAGACTATTAATCTCTATCCATGTGGGAGAAAAATCATCCAAGGGTTGTTTGTGAAAGGCAACAGCTGTGGCATTAACTATCTCAAGAGAAGAGAGAGATCACTGCCAATACACACACTAAAAGACCCATACACACAGGATCACTAATTCAATAGTGCATAGAAATATGAGGTTTGATCAAAACGTATGGTGAAAGTTTAAATTTTAAAAATTTATTATAGTAAAGGACACATCACCATTAATCCCCCTCAAAATACTTCACCTTGAACACACATTCCATTGGTTTTTTAAACCATTTTCGGAAATAGTTCTGGAAGTCTTCTTTCACATGTGTCTTTAGTTGTGCTGTCATGGCTACCTCGATGTCCTTCCTGAGTCAATTCAAAACATTTGCCTTTCATGGTCATTTTGACTTTGGGGAGGAACCAGAAGTTGCACAGTGCCAGATCTAGTGAATAATTAGAATGATGTGAATGAGGACACACCATTATATTTTTATGTGACAGAAATTGTGAAATTCTAATCAATGAGGAGTGATCAAAACACATAGATATGGCAAATGTTTAAATTAAATCAACCCTCCTCAAAATACTGCCCCTCACTTCTAACACACTTATCTCATCATTCATGGCAATGTGTCTTTTACTGTAATAAGTTTTTATTTAATTTAAACATATGACACATCTTTCAGTCACCCCTATACTTTAAAAAATTAGGACTAGAAAGGTGATTCAGTTGCCAATACTGTTTAAAAGCAGGAAGTGATATTTCTTGACTATTTTAAACCACATATAATAGGTAAAAATAAGTATGATCTTTGGAAATAGACACATAATAATAGCTCAAACTGCTTATTTTCTCTTAGAAATAACAATAAGAGCCATGTGTGATGATGCATACCTTTAATTCCAGAACTCAGGAATACTGAGGCAGGAGGATCATAAATTTGAGCCCAGCCTGGGTAATTGTGTGACTTGACAAGATTCTGTCTCAAAATAAAAAATAAAAAAGGCCTGGGATGTAGCTCAGTGAATGGCTCTGTGTTCAATTGCCAGTACCGCTATAGCCACCACCACCAAAAAAAAATCAATTAACATTAAGATGTTTGTTATTAAAAGTAGTATTTTTTATTAGTGGTATTACATACATTACTATTGATTCCTATAAAACCTCCGATATTCAGAGTGAACAAAACTATTTTTTATAGTTATTTCACTCATAATTGTATCCTACTAAGTGTTCAATGATTTACTCTGGTGCCTTAAACCAACTTTAGAATTCATTGACTATTAAGAGATTTTTTTTCTTTTCCGTTAGCAAAGGCATTAGAACTTTTAAAAATAAATTCCACAATAGAAATCAAAGAATAAATTTGCATTACAGTTTGTTTTTTAAAAGCCAATCTTTACTGAGCTCGCACTATATGCCAAGAGTGATGCTAAACGCCCACATGGGCCAGTCCCTAATTCCTCACAGTAGCTGAAGGAGGTGGTGCTGTCATTGACCCTCTTTTACAGATGAAGAAATTAATATGTCCAGGGGGTTAGAAACTATAGGTGAACCCCAGCAATTAGACACCAGACCTATACTTACTGTCAGAATGTAACATTTCTCTCTTAGTCAGTTTTCTCATTGCTCAGACACAATATCTTATACCCACAACTTTAAAAAGAGGTTTAATGTAGCTCATTTCAGAGAATTCAGGAAGTTCAGTCTTTGGTCAGGTAGCTTCCAAGCAGAAATAACATGGAAGGGCTTGAGGAGCAAAGATACTTAGTTCATGCCTGCAGGGAAGCAGTGCAGGGGACCAGTGCCAGAGAGGAACGGGCAAGGGACCATATGTGGTATCCAAGGCCATGCTTCCGTGACCACCCAGATACATCCAGGAGTATACTGTACTAACCTGGTGCTAGGTGTTTCTTAAGGAATGAAGTTCACATAGCAGGATTAAGAGTCACAACTTCCAACCTGAGTGTTTGTTGGATTTCTGGCCATTAAAGTAGAGCTGTTCTTTGCCAGTGAGTCTCTAAGCTAACAGAGGACTGTTTCATGAGCTCTCCTACCATAAGAGCAGAGAAGATTATTTGTTGGGGTTTTTTAAACCACAGCAAAAGGCCTGGACTGTAGCACCGCCATATCTACTTTACTGAGCAATGAACCATTATGGAATGATGAGTCTAGGATATGATGTCTTTTTTAAGCCCGTTTCCCCCCTTAACCCAAAGTAAAGGGGGTAACATTTATTAAATACCTGTTATGGGCAAAATCTTTATATACACAATTCTATTTAATCCTCCCCCAAACTGTGTGGTATAAATGCCACTACTTGAATTTTATATAGCAGGTGAGTTAAGATAAGAAAGATTAAGTAATTTATTCAAGGCCACGTTAACTAGTAAGAGCAAAACCAAATCTTTTTCATTTATACCCCTTGTTCTTGATAAAGAAGAAAGAAGAGCACAAGATTACAGATATAAATAAAAGAATACCTAACAATTATAGAATACTCTAGAGTTTTCAGGGCCACCTCAAATCTACTTCTGGAATGAATAAATACATAAAGTTTATTGAGGGAATTTTAATAATAATCAGGGATCAAAAGCAAAATCATCTTTATTTCTTGCTCCACAAATAACTTAACCCACCTGCCCTACTATGTACCAGGCCTGAAGAGAAGGTCCAGAGATAAATTGATGAATATCACAGTCTAGAAAACTGACCAGAAAGACATACAGTTATCAAATAAGAATCTGTAATAAAATGTGAAGATTATTACAAAAATGTATATAAATTTGCATATCAAGGGGACAGAATCTAATTTAGGGAACTGGAGAATGCTTCCAGAATGACATATTTAAGACAAAGCCAGAAAGAATAAGTATGATTTTTTAAACAATATTCATTTGTCTTTTATTGCATTGAATGTTCTAATCTTGCACCAACAGAACGCTATAGTACTATAAAGGAATATTAAAATGTCCTGAATGATTTGTAACAAGCATTATATAAAGATAACACCTTGAAAATTTGTGATTTTATTGTTGCTATAATAAAATAGGAAATAAATGTGTATTGGGGCATACTCAGATCTGAACTCTAACACCATGATTTTACAACTTGTTGACAATTTGGGGATATTTTATGGTTCTCTGTCAAGTAGTAGTCAATGGGTATCAGTGCAAGGTTAATGGGATTTTTTGAAAGGTATCACTCCAGCCAGATCATACATGCTGGGTTTGGCCAAATATGTTAATCTACCTAAATCTTTCTTACCAATGTCATTGTGTGCCTACTTACCAAAAGACTATTGGAATAACATGCTGATTTTCTAGATATTTTCTACATTCAAAAAAAGTATGTTAAAAGTCATAAGAGCACATTCTTGTGTTTTTTAAAACCTCAAACTTTTCCTTAGCATATTGCTGTTGTATACTCTCAGATAGCTTCTCACACTCCTTATAACAGAAGCCTACAAATCTAAAATCTTTTTCTGCCTCTTACTCCTCATCAAACCAATGAATAGTGTTTTTTGAAGTAAATTGATTCTGCCATATATTCGTAAGTGGGGGACTATCACCAA